TCAGTTCCCACGACGTCTGATATAAGTCACAAGGAGATCGAAGAGCACCTCGATCAGTTCAGCCACGGACACGATGGAGAGGCCGATGAACAGACCGAAGTTCCCGCCAACGTTGCAGAGCAGGGTTTCCCACTGTGAGATATAAGAGATGATAAGGACTGATAAGGATTGATAAGAAGCGTGTCTGGGAGGAGGGGGAGGAGGTGGGGAAGGGAGGGAGGGAGAGGAGAAGGGGGAGGGTGTTTGTTTGAATGGGGTGAGTGGATAGTTTGTGTGGATGTGGGTGGGTGGATGGAGGGGGTGTGTGGGTGGATGGATGGTGGGGGTGTGGGTGTGGGTGTGTGTGTGTGCGTGTGTCTGTGTCTGTGTCTGTGTCTGCGTGTACTGTGTAATATTGATATCTCACTATGTTAGACTTCACGAAACAAAACACAAGAATAGTATCTTACAACATATAACAAAGACACGACAAAGAATCTTTAAAACTCCACAAAGCAAAAGACAAAACACAGCATCATTTCCCTAACAAGAAATTACAAAATATGTTCTTTTTTCTCACCGTGTATGATGCCAGTTCTTCAACAACCTCGTGGTCTAAGCTGTTCAGGTAAATATGCAGACGAGCTGTATTGTTATCACCGCTGCGAAGATAATAGTGATTTGTAATAGGAATTTGCAGTAGGATGTTCAAAAGCTCAAGGATGGAATCAGATGTTTGTTTGTGATTTAAAGGATGGAATCAGATGTTTGTTTGTGATTAAAGGATTGAAAAGGATGTTTGTTTGTGAGTTAAAGGATGGACTAGGATGTTTGTGATTTAAAGGATGCTATATGACGTTTATTTGTGATTTAAAGGGTGGAATAGGATATTTGTTTGTGATTTAAAGGATGGAAAGGGATGTTTGCTTGTGACTTAAAGAATGGAATAGGATATTTGTTTGTGATTTAAAGGATGGAAAAGGATGTTTGTTTGTGATTTTAAGGATGGAAAAGGATGTTTGTGATTTAAAAGATCCGATAGGATTTTTGTGATTTACGGAAGGTTGCAAGTTAAAGTAGGATACAGCGGGATGTTTGTTTGTAACTTAAAGGATAAAATTGTTCGTTCTTAGTAATTTTAAGAAAATAGGGTGTTTGCTAGTAATTCAAAGGAAGATTCGCATTATATGAAAGAATTCGGTTTCTATGGCAACCGGGGTAGGGTCATTATAGTACAGTTATTTCTACATTTCTGAATAGTGTGAGATGAGATGTTGGCGAATGTATATACAAGGACCTTTCATTAAGACCAAAAGGAAAGTTAGAGTTAGGGACTCAATTAGCTTACACTTTGCAGAATATACGATAATATTATGTTGAGAATTTAATAAACTTGACACCCCCAAAAAATATGATCAAAAAATTATGTTGTGCATAAACGTGGACATGGAAAGCATACTATAAAGTTATAATTATGATACAATTTTGTTAAGTTATATAAAATCAATTATTATAATATAATCTTGTTGTCATACAAAGGTATAACCATAATATAAACTTGTTTAGTTATACAAAGTTATAATCATAATATACAATTGAATTATACAAAGTTATGATTACAGTACAAACTTGCGTCGTGAATGAACTTAAACAGAAGACTTACTCTGAACAAAGGTCAGAACCTGTGTACAAGTTCTTCAGGTTCTGCGCTACGGTGAAGAACTTGAGGTTTGGGTTTGTGTAAGTTGTCTGAACATCGTATGTGGTTTCCCTGTGAAGAGAGAAAAGGGGTCTTTCAGTTATTTGGGTGTGGGGGGGGGGAGGGAAGGTGGGAGGGAGGGAGGGAGGGGAGGGTGGGAGGGGGAAATGAGGGAGGGAAAATGGATGGAAGGGAGGGAGGGGAGGGGAGGGGAGGGGAGGGAGAGAGAGGGAGGGAAGGAAGGAAAGAAGACGTTGAGAAGGTTGGGGGGGGGGGGAGGAAGGGAAAGGGAAGAGGTAGGTGTCAGGGTGAGAAAGAGGAAGAGAGGGAGGGAGGGTAAGAGGGGGGAGGGAGCGAGGGAGAAAAAGGAAGAACGGGAGCGAGAGAGAGAGAGAGAGAGTGAGAGAGAGAGAAAGAGTGAGAGAGAGAGAGAGAGAGAGAGAGAGAGAGAGAAAGAGTGAGACAGAGAGAGAGAGAGAGAGAGAGAGAGAGAGAGAGAGAGAGAGAGAGAGAGAGAGAGTGAGAGTGAGAGAGAGAGAAAGAGAGAGAGAGAGAGAGAGAGAGAGAGAGAGAGAGAGAGAGAGAGAGAGAGAGTGAGAGAGAGAAAGAGAGAGAGAGAGAGAGAGAGAGAGAGAGAGAGAGAGAGAGAGAGAGAGAGAGAGAGAGAGAGAGAGAGAGAAAGAGAAAGAAAGAGAGAAAAAGAAGAAGAAAAGAATAGAAGAATAGAAACAGAGAGACAGAGAAATACAGTGACATAGACACATACAGACAGACAAACACAGAGAAAGATCTTTTTGACATATTTCATTCCACAGACAGACA